CGCCACAACGCCCGGCTATTTTTTGGTTGCAGCCGTCATTGTTGTTTGGCGGGTCCGGGCTGGGGATTCGAACCCACCATCTTAGGTGTACGTGGCTGGCGCCCTAGCCGGTTGAGCTATAGGCACCGAGCCCTGAAGCTTATTTTTGGAGGATACAGTATTCTTGGCTAATAGTTATTCTGTTTTAGAAAACTAAAAATAAGACCCATTCCCTTCTGGTTTGTAAAGTTTTTGCTGAGAAATTAGTCTGATAGGTTTTCCTTAATAAGCTACCTGATTCTTTCATCTCATAGTTTGTGAGATGTTTGCCTTTAATTAAATTTGGCCAATCTGATGATTATATGTCTTGGAAATGTCGTGTTTGCAATCTTCCAAGTATTTGATGACATTTTTGCATCTGGATGTCTAAATCTCAAGCAAAACCAGGGAAATTTTCCTCCATTTTTTCCCTGAAGAGGGTTTTCCATGTTTTTTGCTCTTCTATTCCTCCCTTATGGACACCTGTGTTCATTTTACATAATAACATGATTCTTAAAGACTTTGTCCATTCTTCTTGATTCTTTATTCTTCACTTTTGACTGACCAAGTTAACTCAAAAACCTGTCTCCCAGCTCTAAAAGTCCTTATGTCTGGTTTAGTCTGTTGTTGAAATTTTCCACTGAATTTTTTTACTTCCCTAAATAATTCTTTCATTTCCAGAAGTTCTGTTATTATTTTTAACTATTTCTTTAGTGAATTGTTCATTTTTGTCCTGAATTTTTTTTCTTTCTCTGTGTTAGTTTTCCACTTTTTCATTTGTCTCATTGTCCCCACTGAGCTTGCTTGTGATCCATATTTTGAATTCCATATCTAGCATCTCATAATTTTCATTTTGGTTGGATTTCATTGTTGAAGAGCTAAAGTGATCCTTTGGAGTGGGGTGTCAAACTAATTTGTTTTTTCATGTTGCCAGCAAAGTTTTTTAGTTCCTTCTCATCTGGACCTAGTCTCTTAGTTCAAAACAGATAGATTTGCATCACAACTGATCTCCTCTCCTGAGAACTCTGTTGCTGCTCAATGGAGAGAGAAAGAGAGAGGTACTTTGCCTTTTGGTTCATGCCAGTAGGTACCCACCGCAATGTTGCTGGCCATTTGGGTCATTGTCACTCAGACCCTGGGAAGGTAATCAGGTACCAGTGTTTCTGGATGAGGTTATGTAATCCCCAGTTCCCAGGCCCCTGGATGGTGTGCTTGAGTACTGCTCTGGAAGACTGATTGGGCAAAAGAGGGGCAGATGTACTGTGATCCTCTCTAGTATTAAGCAAAAGTAATGGTGTTTCTTCCTTCTCCATTGGATCTTCTCTGACGCTTCTACAGCACACCAAAAAAGACCATTCTTGAGGTGAGTCACATTACCATCTTCTAAGCCTATGCCTAGTTGCTACAGGCCTTCTTACAAATACCTTGATATCCTTAAAGGTTCCAGTGCTGGCCAGATATCATAAGCAATTAAGAAAATATGCTGTCTTTTTCCTAATCTCAAGGAACCATCTACTTTAAGTCCAAAATTATACTGTATCTTTCATGTTTTATATTAAGCTAGTTAATATTGGAAGGAATTTGGGGTAGGAAGTGCCAATATACTGAAGGAGCAATAGAAGATATCCTTTCTATATATATGCCTTAAAATTGGCTAAAATGGAGAGAATGTTCATAGGAACCAGATTTTTAAATTAATTAAGCTATGTCTGTGGGCTTAAAATTAGTGTCTGCATTTGTTCTCCCCTATTCAGTCAGACTCATATTTTCCCAGCTATTCGAGACTTACATCACTTAACAAGCTGTCATCATTATCCACATGGTAAGTATCAAGCATTCATTGAACATATCCCAAAGGGCACCATTATAAATGCCAGACCTCTGATTAAACTTGGTTCTTTAGGTCAAAATAGTTAAAAACTAAACACACAAACAAGCTAAAATAAGATTGGTAAAGCACACAAAAGTCAATTCTTGATAGACTTAGTTCCTAAGGGACTACTCATAATTAATCAAGCTTGACTTCCTAAAAGCATCTGACCTAGAGAATATTAAAACTGTAGTGGAAAATAAAATGGAAATTGGGCAGTGCCTGTGGCTCAAACAAGTAGGGCACTGGCCCCATATGCTGGAGTTGGTGGGTTCAAACCCAGTCCCGGCAAAAAAAAAAAAATTTTTAAAAAGAAAAGAAAATGGAAATAAGAACCAGCAGAAAGGTCAACGTAAGGAGAAAATCTTCAAATACATAGTATGTTTGCTTCGTTTAGTTGTAGCTATATAGTGGTCCTATGGATAGCATAATACATATACTACAAATATTGAGTAGGGTTTCTTAATGGAGATTGTCTTAGTCTGTTTTGTGCTGCTGTAACAGAATGCCTGAAACTAGATAACTTATAAGGGACAAAATTTATGGGCTCACAGTTCTGGAGGCTGGAAGATCCAATACCATGTTGCTGGCATCTTTCCAGGACTTTCTTGCTGCATTATCCTATAGCAGAAAGTGAGAGAGAAATAGGGGGCCAACTTGCTCTTTTATAATGATGTCAATTCCACTCATAAGATGGAGCTCCCATAGCATGAACATCTCTTAAATGTCTCACCTCTATTGAATTTCAACATGAATTTTGGAGGAGACAAATATTCAAATGATAGCAGAGATAGTCTACATTTGTGTTTCTATATGCTGGTGAAATAACAAAAAGTTCAATTCTAGAAATGCATACTAAAAATGTGCTTCAAGAATACAGCACAACAGTGTATGAATAAGAAAAGATATTCTTTAAATTAAAGCTTAGAGTGGCTTATTCTATTCTGTTTAAGGCTATTGCCCAGCATAGATAGATATATATACACATATACAGATATATATATATATACACATATACAGATATATATATACATATATATATGTAAGACTTAGCAAATATTA